AATGGTTGCCCCTCGTGTAACGAGGATGGCCGGCCCAAGGGCCATCTACGCTTGAATTTGTTTAAGATGTAGAAGCCGTCACCAGCACAACAACCACACCCTGAGTTAACGAGCTGCATGACCCAGTGTCAAGGTATAATCCGAGACAACTCACCACTGCACTGGCTAACCATTACCCCAGATCACCACCCACAAATCAATTAACATTCTGGTCCCCAATTACCGCTGGCTAAACGATTATTTCAGCTCACAGGAAATACAGAACAGCTGATGTTATACCTCGAATACATGTATGCATATGCGGGCAAAAACAAGGGAAACAGCCCTATCAATCAGTTCCCAGCCAGTGCCACGGGGCCACATGGGCAAGGGAGGCGCGGTAGGGCGTAACACCTCACCTTTTTGTCCTGTTGTAAAAGACTTTCATCTCGAGCCATGATGAACACACCGTGATCCTCCGGCCAGACTGTATCCTCCTCGTCTACAACTTTGTCGCCTACTTGAAGCCACTTTTCCCCCCTCTCCCTCCACCCTCAGGTAGTGTGAAGCAGCTGCACGGGTCGTGAGGTACACGTGTTACCAATCTCTTTGCTTGTCTGTAAACGAAGGTCATGTGTCGTGTTTCGATTCCTGAGTCAGTTCTTTGCTCTTGGCCTCCTTACTGGTTGAGCTGATGCGCTTTTCCTTGGTCACGTGTGCTGTTGCTAATGGCTGATGCTATTTGTGTTGAACTGCTCACTCGCCTACACACACACACACACACACACATACACACACACACACACTTTTGTTTGTGTATGTTTTACCTCTTCCCATCAGGAATCCTGTGCACTTCACATCACACACCAGCACGTCCACACTACTGCTGCACACACCGACACACGTGCACACCCACATTATCATGCCGAGACACGTTCACGCCCACACCCCTGCACGTCCACAGTGTCTTATGGTAAAATTATATTAACATCTCAAGATTCCCTCCCGTGGTTTGTTGTTGTTGTTAATTAGTAACATTCTCTGTACCGGTGCTATGTTACATTATTACCGTGTAAAGTGTATGCAGACCCTTGACTGTACCGGTGCTATGCTAAATTATTACCGTGTAAAGTGTATGCAGACCCTTGACTGTACCGGTGCTATGTTACTTTATTACTGTGTTAAGTGTATACAGGCCCTTGACATAACCTCGGGAGTGGGAGGGTGTAGGGCGGCCTCACCTCACATGGTTGATATATAATTTAACATAATTACCTTTCATAACTCAGGAAGGTTAGTCTCCCTTCTCAGTCTGCCATGTGTTTCCATACTCATACAATCTGTCTCACTTTAAAAAGATGGTTTTCCGGCATCTTCGTTGTGTTAATATAACCTTTTTCTTCTCTATTTTCAATTTCTTTCTGTTCTTTCCCCCCAGGCCCCGTTGTGGGTCGTTTGACCTGTGCCCGGGTGGGCTAATTCCCGTAAAAAAAATAATTCTAATAATCTAATCTAAGGTTTTGTATGACATGTTTATGAATGTGTGTATTGCATATGTACAGTCTGTGTGTATTGTTACGAGTTGGGGATTTAGAATATAGTTATACGTCTACCCAGATCCCAACAGGTAACAACAATAAAAAAAAACAAAGACAATCGGACTATAAAAGGGTAGACAAAGGATGCGAGTTTTCGTTGTATATAATAGAGTACCATAAATCCCTTAACAAAATATTCAGCTTATAAATTACCCTTAACCAAACTTAACCTAAACATTAACAGTATATACATATTAATAAACATAAAACAATCTCGAAGCAAGTGGACGTGGGAGTTAATACAGGATAAAGTACTTAAGTGAGGAGCTGAGATGGCTGACGAGTAAGGCTGAGTATTGTAGAAGACGGTAGGTAGTCACTGCACGTGTGTCTTAGGGAGGATAGACAGATCCTGTATCACTTCCCAGACAAGTCTCCTCTCCTCGAATTGGAGCTGACAAAGAAGACTTTGAGGAGGTGACGCAACAACCAGGATAGGGAGAAGGGAAACCTCGGAGTGGTAACTAAGACGAGTCATACTCGTGTCTCGTCCCTAGATGGCGTTGCTCGTGGTGCTGGGTAGGTAGATCAGGACAATAGATGGCGTGCTTCGTAGTGCTGGGTGGAGGGGTTCGTAACAGTATTGCATATGTACAGTCTGTGTGTATTGCATATGTATGTATTTACGGATATGCGTGTGGTTATA